AGACGACCCAGTTGGTCAGGTTCTGTTAGTATTCACAGACGACCCAGCTGGTCAGGTTCTGTTAGTATTCACAGACGACCCAGCTGGTCAGGACTGAGTTTGTCAAACATCAAATGAAACGTGTGAAGCAGATCTGTTCGACCTTCTGACTCCTGCGCTCTAAAACTGGAAGCTTTCCCTAAAAGGCCACTTGGACGCAGACGCTCTGGACTTCCTGTCCCCCCTCGGGGGTCTGCTGTGTTGCTGTGGGTCGTTTTACAGTTTGTGTGTGAACAGTGAGTTAAAGTGAACAAACAACAATAAACAAATCTTACATTTAAAGCACACTACATGAAAATATAACTGATAATATCAAAAAAGGCAAATAGTAGGTGTATTGCAACAATCTTTTGTGGCATCACTATCAAACATCTATTGTCATCAACCTCTTCATCATCATCCAAACATCATCATCATCTGAGACGGCCAGGCCGGGGGGGGATGATTGACAGCCCACGCAGACCACTCACATTTCGCCCGTCCCGGCGCAGGCACACCTGAACAACGCAATAACAAGAAACATTTCACCGAGAGCCGCCGGCCAGTGGCAGCGAGGGTCGGCTGGGGAGCAGCTCTGTGATTGGACAGCAGGCATCTCCTGGGAACAGGAAGAGCTCGTTGGGACAGGAGGAGGAGGAGGAGGAAGGCCAGGTGTGTGTGAGATGAACGTGGCTGCTGAATCTGAGTGTGTGCACGGAGACGTGGTGGATGAGTGAAAGTGTGCCTTGCTTTGTTTAGACTGCTGCGTGTGTGTGTTGAGTTTCTGTCTGGACAACTGGAGGTCTTTCCCAGGCCACGTTTACTGCAGTCTCACACACACACGCACACGCACACACGCACACACACACACACACACACACACACACACACACACACACACTGACTCAGCTGGATACAGACGTCCTAAATCTGATACGGGCCTAAATCGTAAACGGCAGGCCGTGGTGAAGGCGTCCAGCCTCCCTCGTGTGCAGAACGTCAGCGAGTCTTCAGATAAATGTTTGATGTGTCGCCACTTCCTGCTTCCTCCTCCCATCGGTTTGGGTTTTGTCAGCCAGCCGGGGTTTTCCTGCCCCATGCTTTGTGTTATAAATATCTAGAAGTAGTTTGTAGTACGACACTGTTGTCCAGCGTTTTGATACCCGCTGCAAGCCCTTTCCTACAGGAACCGTTTAAAAAGCTGGTCCGAACATGTCGTCGCTGCCTTGGAGCGATGCATCCACACCTGCTTAGCTTAGTTTAAATTGGTTTAGTATCAAGAATGATTTAGTCTGATCCAGTCATCATCTCGTCAGCTGCTTTGAGTCAAAAGGTGTTTTAATGTTTTCCCTTCTTTAAGTGCTTGTCATATAAACTAAAGCAAGAGGAACTAAAGAAAACTGATTGATTTTAAGCCTTTTTTGTTTCACAGGAAACTTATGGAAAATAGAAAAACTTTCAAATGGCTCTGAAATACCGTCTCTAATATAAAACAAAGAATAAATTATTTCATTAGTGAACAAACGTGCTGGTTTTGGTTTGCAGTGTACCAGGTTTATCCACCAGCAAAGCAAAGATAAACCGGAGGTTACGTGATTGTTGCAGTGAATCTGTTTGCTTAAAACAAAAACTAAAAAACATTTTAGTTCCAGTCAGGATTACTGTCCGCTCCCTAAGTGCTGTTCGTTTAAAGAAATCAGCTGGGATTCATTAATAGACTAAACTTTACACAACGACTCAAAAAAGTCTGGAATATTTCATAAAATACATTTAAAATACGCACACGAAGTTGATGTAGTTCACTGAAGAAAGACAGAAAAGATCAAATAAAAATGAGTCATATCTGATTATTAATTGTCTAATTTTGGCCTTTTTTGTCTTCTCAGCTCACAAAGTTCCTCCTCGAGGAGTTTTGGCTGCAGTTTGGTTTGGTTCCTGCAGAGGGCGCTGCTTTGCATAAAGACTGGAGAACTTGGCTCCACCATGGCTGCAGAGCCACTCTACTTCTGAACTTTAAAGCATGACACAAGTCGAGTTGCTATTAACACTTGTGTCACTTGTCAACACGTCAGAGTGTCTAGTTTCAACAACTCGTTTTGTGCAAAAGTCAAGAGTTTTGTTTCAAAGATAAAACGGAGAATGATTTCAGTTTGTGGAATATGATTTAAGTTCTGGGGAATGACTCTGCAGCATTTAAAAGTAAAGAATCTCACCCATAAACCTAAAAGTTTCAGTTTCAGAGTTGTTCAGTTTTTGTGGCGGCGAGCTGAGGCTGGCTGACAGAGGATTGTGGTCTCTTTCCTGCTGCAGTAAAGTGCTCAAAGATGCCTGCGAAAAACAGAGACTTCCCACAGAGAACCACATGTGTGGGGCTTTTAAAGAATCATTTGATCCCAAGTGTTGGTTCTGGTGTCTGCGTGTGTGGCGCAGCAGTGCACAGGCAGCGGACCAGACGTTCAGGGCCTGTTGGGCGGCTGCCTTCCTTCCTGAGTAACGCTACAATAGAGACGTGAGCGGTCTCTTCTCACCCCGTGAACAAAAGTTCAGACATTCAAAGAAAATAACATCAAAAGATTAAAACAACTAACTCTGCTACTCGACTCGTCTCCACCGTTTCGGACGGTCATCTTGATTGGCTCAGACTTTGTTTCATGAGACAAAGTCTGACAAACAAACTCGTGTGCTTGCCGTGCTTGGTCGAGGTAGTAGCAGCCAGAGCTGGGATTGCTAATGATTCGGCCAAAGGGACGAGGAAGAGAGCGCTACGGGGTTCTGATTGGACCCACAGTTGGCTCGCAGGACTCAGACGTTTGCATAAACTGGAGATTTGTTTCTTTTTCCATCTGTGGTACAGTAATGGATGGTCTGAGTCCGTTGGACCAAAGTCTGGTCGCAGCTGTGCACTGTGCTGGCTACACGCTCTGGTAAGCCTCTGTTTTCCTTTTAAAACCCCAAACGACAGAGCTGCTTCACAATAAAAGTCTCTCTCAAACCTTCCATCTGCGCATATTAAAAAAATAGTGCAATTCTTTTCAGCAATTATATAAATAACTCTAGATTCGTGCTTTCCACTCCCCTGCATACACGTGTGTATCAAGTCCATATGTAACGAAAATACATGTCAACATGAGAAGGTTGGCACCCCAACGTGTAACTGTTTCTTTTTTTTTACCAAACAGCAAATAAAGCTTCACGTTTTAGAAGAAAACGCTCCTGCTTTCCTCCTTTTTATCATCTAAACTGCAGATTTCTTTGTGCAAACCTTCTGAAACATCAAACTGATAAGAACAGGATTTCAGAAAGAACTCCTGCGGGAGTTGGTCCATGTAAGGCAGAGCTTTCAGCGTCAGGACGTTCAGCACTGTGCTGCAACTGTGAGCTAGTAACTAAACCTAAAGTGAAAACGCAGCATGACGTGCCAACGTGTCCCGCTGATGAAGCTGAAGCTTGGTGCAGGAGAGAAACTGCAAAACTGAAACGAGAAGCAGCGAGGTGGGATTATCACGACAAACAAAATCTGGACAAACCAACGAGACTGAACCTCGTCACAGGTGAGGAACTGATTCTACAAGGACAAACAAAAACAAGTAAATATTTAGAACGAATGACGCAGATCAGTGACCTTCAGCTGCCCTTGTCTCCAAAGTTCTATCTTCAGCTGATGGACTCCTCGTACAGGAAGTGGGATGCCAGAAGAACAAGAAGTTCTCCTGTAACCGTGCTCTGCAGGAAGTGATGTGTTCTTACCTAACGAGAAGCCCTCAGCCCCTCCCCCATCTGTGGTCCAAATGGTTCTGTAACCATTCACAGTGGGTTGAACCAATCATGATGGTTCCTCACCATCCATGGGCGATTATATGAATGGGGAGTTACCAGATGCAGGGCGTTCGTGCAAGACTGGGCAGGAAGTAGTCTCGTCACACCTGCTGGGGCTTCTGGGATTTCTCCTTTGTGTTCCTTGTGTTCCTGTTGTCCACACTTCCTGGCTGCTGAGGCAGAGGTCTGAGTAGACCGTGTATGAGGGTGGTCGGGGATGCCTGTGAGGACGATACAGTCTGATGGTTGGAGGTCAGGGTCGTTGGGTGGTAGTAGTGCCCAATGACCTCACTGTAGGTCGGAGGAGCTCCTTCAACTCCAGAGCCCTGTTTGTGCTGCCGAGACAAGGCCTCCTCCAGCACGCTGATGCCTGAATGGACGCTTGGAGGCGGAGCCTGCAGTCTGAGAACAGGAGAAAGAGGAATAAGAAGGATGTGAGCAAGACAGAAGAAATCACAAGGTGTTTCACCCCAAAAGATCTTAGAAGGACAGACCATCAAGCTAACCATGTCATGCAAATGAGTAGAGGTTCAACATCAGCTAATGTAGCGAGGAAAACCTATGAGAAAGAGTTGCTTTAGACATCTGAATCTTCTTCTTTGGGCTTTTCCCTCTTCAGGGGTCTCCACAGTGAGTCATCCTCTTCCATCTCACTCTGTCCTCTGTCCTCACTCTGTCCTCTGTGTCCTCTGTCCTCACATGTCCAAACCACTGTCCCTCCTCTGGACATGTCCAAACCACTGT